TCAGTTTTGTGACCTCAGTATGGATATAACTGAATTTCAAAACCTGACTGGACTCATGCCAGTACTCATTAGGGAAAGTATGAAGTTGCAGAACTTTGACTACAGAACATTATGAAAAATTAGAAGACTGAGGCTACTGATAACAATATTTTTAAAACCATTGTTAGATTGCTCCACTTGTTCATCACAAATGAGCAAGAGAGATGCATTGACATCATATTATTTAATGAAGAGAAGTCTACCAACCTGTGGGAGATACAAGTATCTTATGGGACATGTGGGCAGAGGTGGAAAACAGATCTTTTGCCTTCCGTCTCAGGATTTGTCCCAGCAATTTGTTCAAAAATGGATCTGATACTGTTCCCAAATTGTTAACCCCTATGACTTTCTCATTTCAATTCTGAATGTTTAATACCTCATCTCAAGATGCCCAAGATGGTATATAATCATCATCTTAGAACGACAGAGCTAGAAGGGACCCTATGGATCATTGAGTCTGGCTCCTGTCAAGGAGGCATAGTGGGGAATTGAACTCCCAGCCTCTGGCTCTGCAGCCAGATACTGTCCTAAACCACTAAGCTATCCAACAGTTTGTGTGGTTCTGTCTCCTGTTTTTACATTTTGTTCTCAGAACTGCCCTATGATGTAGGATGGGGTTTACCTCAAAGTCATCCAGTTAATTTTATGTCTTTGGCCGTTTGAACCTGGGTTTCTCCAGTCCTAATCCAGCACTATACCTCTATACAAGCTTGTGACCTACCCTGCATGTATTTTATTTTTCAGATGAGTGTCACTTCTCCCTCAAATTATTCAAATAATGGTGCATTGAATCAGTTTTGGGCTAGGAGTCAGGCTATCTGGATTCTGATCTCTCTATCAATGGCCAGGCTCTCCAGTATCCAGCCTTATCTGGACTCTGATCTCTCCATCAGTCTCACTGGGCATCTTTCATTCCTGAAGTTCACTGGGTAGCCTTGGGTCCTGTCATACTCTCAGACTGGACCGACCTCACGAGTTTGTTGAAAGGATAAAATAGAGAGAATAGGGCTGTGTTTGTCATCTTAATCTCATGGAAGGAAACACCAAAGTATAAACCATGTGCTTGGACCAAATGCAGTGGAGTATTCGCTTAATTACTAGCATCCCTTTGTCTGCAAACTGGAGAGAGACACCTGGCTTTACATCCACTGAAGTGAAATCTGGTCCTAATACATCTTCAGCTAATTGTATAAGTTTACAGCCTCTATCCTGGGACGTTAACTGTAGACCCTGAAGCCTTAAAATATAGCCAGGAGAATTGTTGAACTGTTTTTTTTTTCCCCCACAATGGCCAGGCTCTCCAGTATCCAGCCTGACAAAAATTATTTATTTGGTGTGTTTCGGTGATCTTATAAAGGTATTACCCACCTTAGTTGCACCAGGACCATGCAAGTTTTTTCCTTTGTTCTTTTAAGTTAGTAATGAATTTCAGTGAAATCCTGTGTATTTCACATTTCACATGTATCCTTCACCTCCCACTTGGAGGCAATCAGAATGGCTTATGTAGCAAACACATACAAGCAAACTGCATGAAATCCTGTGTATTTCACATGTATCCTTCACCTCCCACTTGGAGGCAATCAGAATGGCTTATGTAGCAAACACATACAAGCAAACTGCTGGATAACTCAATGGCTTAGACATCTGACTGCCAAGCCAGAGGTTGGGAGTTGAGTTCCCCATTATGCCTGCTTGACAGGGGCTGGACTCGATGATCCATAGAGTCACTCCCAGCTCTGCAGTTCCAAGATTATTGTTATTAAAAACATAATAAATCATGTCAAGGCAAACTGCTGGATAACCCAATGGCTTAGGCATCTGACTGCCAAGCCAGAGGTTGGGAGTTGAATTCCCCATTATGCCTGCTTGACAGGGGCTGGACTCGATGATCCATAGAGTCACTCCCAGCTCTGCAGTTCCAAGATTATTGTTATTAAAAACATAATAAATCATGTCAATAAAAACATAGAGTGATAAAATACATAAGCCAGCACTGTGGCTTCTGAAGACTAAAAACGATCCAATACTGAACCAAAAAAGAAGAGCAGATGAATTTTTGGCTTCTTGGGAGGGAAAAAAAAATCCCTTGGAGCAGCAATGAAGCACTTAAGAATGGGGGGCTCACTGAGTTCAGGGACAAGGAGCTCTGTACCATGGGTACCACAATAGACAGACCCTCTCATCTCAACAGCTGTACCTTAAAAAGCAAAAGGGACTTTGGCAGCTGAACCCGGAGAGTGGTTATATTTATGCGAGTGGAAGCAGTTCTCAAGTTATTGTGATCCAAAGCTGTTCAGATATTCAGAGGTGAGAATCAGCTCCTTAAATTCCTCCTGAGAGGTAGTCTGTGCAGCTCATACAAGGGAGTAAATGATCTGGCACTCATCAGAACTAGCATTGTTCGCTGGCTGAATTTCCTGAATGGCCTTGTCAGGGTCAGTCTTTATAGAGTGCCTTACTTCAATCCCCTCAAAATATAACTACTCCCTGTTTGATTCTTGCCAGGCATGACCTTTAAGAAACAGGTGTAGCTGGTCTGCTAACTGAAGATGGTCTTGGCCACAGCCTCCATCTGGACATCTGGTAGGACCAGAATCATGCACAGATAGTGGAGTTCAACTGTTTCTGGAGCAGGTCCCTTTCTGAACTGATAGGTGCCCTGGCATTGTCCACATGGGGTTTCAGTTTGTGTCCCATCAGTGACCCTTGCCAACAGTTCCAGATAAGACTGGGTTCCTTTTGCCTATAGTCTTTCTGTCTTTTCAACTTAGGATATATTTTGTGGGGCCAAAGCAAATAGTACTAATGAAGTGGAGGCAGGCCTTTTCCTTTTTCCTTTATTTTTTTTTGAGCCATTTAGTAAGCCAGCAGTAAACGCAGTGTCAGTGCCTAAGGCACCCTGCTAGAAATGTTGTGGCAGCCTCAAAATTGTATATTTACCCTTGCTGAGGCTTAGATCCTATGGGAAAGCATCACAGCTGCTTAATTCCAGAGACGTGCTATGAAATCATCTGGGTTCAGGAGCACTGCAGTCAGGGCCATCTACTTGCTCAGCTTGGGTCATTTAGCAGCTGCGTGCTTAATAGAACATGCAGCCTTTCTGTTAATGGTGATGAAATTGATGCCGTTGATGAGATGGGGGTGGGAGAGTATGAGGCTTGTGCTGATGAACTGCTCCATATGTGAGTTGGTCTTTATTATAGTGGTCGCTGCATATCAGCACTGTTTGCCATTACCCTTGTCCTCAGGCTTGTCTTGCTCTCTCCTCTACCCACTCCTTCTTTGGTAACAGTCTTGTTGTGTGCAGGGTGGACATGAAACAGACACAGATTGGCACCTAGGGGGTAACAATTTATTGTGCTTGTTTAAAAGGGAACAGAAAATATCTCTGCAGCTGACTCTACTGCAGTTGTCTTTTATTTATTTATGTATGTATTATTTATTTATATTTATAACCTGTGCTCCCATTGTGAGCTGAAGACAGCATCTGTGGCTTTTTTTTAACTTTGCATGAAAGGGGTAAAGACCTGTATGGTCCTTGTACACAGTATTAATACAAACTTGGGTGACAGTTTCATTAAACCACTAAAAGAATCCAGACATAAGCTACTCTTCCCTCCACCCACATGACTCTATATCAGGGTCTCCAGACTATGGCCCACGGGCCACATCCAGCCCACCTTGCTGTTTTATCCATCCCGCTCCCTTCAGGAGGGGGGTGGGCGGAGGCATGCATGTATGCCGGGGGCAAGTGGGCAGGCATCTGTGCAGCCAAGCAGGGGGGCATGCATGTACATTCCTTCGGCCCTCAAAAATGTTGAAAATATACAATGTGGCACTCATGCTCAAATGTTTAGAGACCCCTTCTCTATCAAAGCACATGATTCTGTCCTCAGCCAAAAAGGACTTCTGTGTTTTGATACAAACACATATCCATGGGGGAAAGGGTGCTGAGTGACTGGCAAGCCTTTGTCTAACACAATTGGGAGGGGCTTTGTAATCCACACTCCTGGAGGTGAAATTTAAAACCCACCACCTCTGAGTTCATTCTGCAACTCCTATTCTGCAGCTTGCTTTAAAATAGAAAACTTGGCCTGCACATCTGGCCATGGATTTTGAAAGTTTAGTCCATCTTTTGTACCATCCTCAGTTCTGCAATGCCCAGCCTGATACAGAGTCAAAAACTACTCTGTGTCATCAGTTTATCTTCCTGATGACCCTGTAAGTCATTAGGAAGAGGCTGAGAGAGAGTGGCTGACCCAAGACCACCCCTTGTGTTCCATGGCTCAGTGGGGAATTGAACTTGGATTTCCCAAACTCTGTCCCACACTGACTGTACTGCAATGTCTTGTATGGCGGGTTTTTGTTTGTTAGTTTGGTGGTGGGGATTTTGTCATGATGGGAGGAGAGTTGACTCTGTGGAAACGTAGGAGAGCTAGTGTGGAGCCCAGCATTCAATTTCCCACTCATTCAGAAGTGACCTTGGTGCATTCATGGCCTCTCAGATTAATCTATGTCTGTAGGATTGTTGTGAGGATTAAGGGGATGTAGAGTATGTCTGCTGTTCTGAGCTTCTTGGGGGGGGGGGGAAAGGAGGTTAAAATCTGATAGATGAATAGATAGATAGATATAAAAATGTTGAATTATAGGTGTAGAATTGAGAAGGGAGGGCAGTAGAATCAGGAAGAAACTAATGCTGTTGGAAATAGATGCACAAGAAGGGAAAGAGATGTAACGTGGAGAGGGGCTTGGTCTATCACTGAAAATGCAAAGCATGTTTTCACCATCTGCTGCTGTGATGTGGCCTGCTACCAGCATTGCGTGTGTTGTAGATGCCTAACCCAGAGGCTTTTGTCAGGAACTGAAACTTCTTCCTCCCTTCCCTTCCCTTCCCTTCCCTTCCCTTCCCTTCCCTTCCCTCAAATTGCTGGTTCAGTGACTGATTCATCAATTCCCTGCAGATCCCAAAGAACTGAAGAACCATTGCATCGGGAGCCCTCCCAGCATCACCTCCTGCCTTGCCAACATCCCCAATGCGACCATGGGAACTGGCAGTGAATAGGCGCCCTCCTCCTCCTCCTCTCCCCTTTGAACAGCAACGATTCCCAGGAGGAAGCTGTGGCAGTCCAGCACACCTCAGGAGAAGGTATAGCCATTCATATCTTAATTCTTCTGTTACCCAACTATGTAGAGGAGTCTTAGGGCAAAGACTGGGAATTGTAGAAGGCTTCCTGCCCCTTTTTAAAAATAAATTATGTGGGTACTCCTATAAATATCTGCCATAAATCTTGTATTGCACATCAAGTTAGCAGTTGATAGAAACAGTGGTGCTATGCCCATATGTTATCCTTGATGAAAGGAGATTAGCTACCTATATAACCCCCCCCCTCTGGCAGGCAGGGTCACTCTGGGTGGTTTACAACAGATAAACAACAGGATAACAAAATAATACATATACAAAATAACAATAATACAATTGGGGCATAAATCAAATATCATAAAGTGCAGTAAAAACAAATACAATACAATGAATTACAATTAAAAGCATAAAATTACAGTAGCTGTTCTCTCAGTTAGTATTTGGAAGTGCTCCTTCCCCCCCCCCCCCTTTCCTGCATTGGGGGAAGTGAAATCAGGCATGCTTCAACACTAGCAGATAGCAAGGACCTGTTGACAGTGTTTCCTTAATTCTTCCTCATATGGAGGAAGCACCCCTTGACACTTGTAGAAGTGGGGACTCAGTGTCACCTGGTTTGTGTAGAGCTGTGGAGGCAGAATGGAACCCCTCTCTGATTCTATTCCCTTATCATTTCTCTGAGGGGAGCGGGCATAGCAAGCAGTCTTTGTTCTATGTGCTTTAAAGTCACCATGTCTGGGAAGTTATCCGAGGCTTGACACCTTAAAGTACTGAGTGAGGCTGGCAGAACTCCTGACTACCCTCAGTAGATAGAAAGGAGGACAGCTTGAAGGGATGGGTCAAACTAGAACCATGGCAACAGTGCCTTGTCGTTAATGTGAGCAGTGCTGTGGCCAAAGTGGTGCCCTCATTTTCATCCATCAGCAGTTTGTTTCTCTCCATCCTCTCTCCCCTCCTCTGCTACTCTGGCCTAGCCTTGCTGTAAAAATGGGTGTATTTGTAGCTGACAGCTCAGCATAGATAACAGGCTGGCCCGTAGGGTCACCCCTCTATATTTCTCTCCCCACAACTGGCTCCACAGCCCTCCTTCGCGGCACCACTGGGGCCGACGTGAGCGACCTCTGCAAGCTCTCCTAGTCCAGGATGAGAACTACTTGCACCCGGCTTTTTTCCAGCAGCAGCAGCAGCAGCCACAGCCGCAAGTCCCTGTAGATGAGCACCCGGCGTACGTTCTGGCCAATACGCCACCACGAATGCTTCACCCGGCTGCCCACCCACCCCACCAACATCCATTCATGGTGGATCTTCATGAGCAGGTAGGGACTCTGTGTGCATAGGTGATGATGTTGGTGTTGATAATAACAGCTTTTTAACACATTTCTGGTTTTGCTCTGTATTCTTCCTGCCTCAGACTTTAATTGATTGTTTGCTCCAGAATACTTTGGATGCCTCTCTTAAACCTTTTGAAACTTTTGCCTTTTTAAAAACTTCTTCACTCTCTTGAATAAAATAGAAAAAATCCTCCATTTTCTAGGTGTTTGGCTAGGAGGGTTTATGGTACTTAAAAACAAGTATTTTCTTGACCATCTACTTGGAGTTGGTAGATGGTACCTCTGGGTAATGTGGGCGGCATATAAATTAAATAAATAAATAAACAAACAAACAAACAAACAAATAAATAAATAAATAAATAAATAAATTTTTGTGTGTGTGTTGGCAGTTCTATCTTGCAGGGTTGGCGTGAGAGTCTTGAGTGCTTAACCTTTTGGGATTTTTGTAACTCCATGAAAACACTGCTGAATTGGGCCAGATTAGAATGTTGGATGGTACCAGGATCAAGCAGTTCCTTAGCCATCACCACATTTTAACTTTCTCAGGCTCGCCCACTCCAGGATCAGCAACGTAGTGTGGCTGAGTGGTTGGAATGGCACTCCCTCATCCTGGTGATCCATCACATGGAGAACACTATCTGTGTTTTTCCTCATCAGTAGGTGGTGCTTGAGCGTTGCCTAACATCAGTAATGGACCAGGTGAGAGTCCACTGGAACTGAATCCAGTTAAGATGGTGATCTCACTGTTGGGACCAGTTAGAGAGATGTTTAACTAGCCCAGATGGGGTTACACTCTACCTAAAATATTGGGTTTGCAGCTTGGGAGTGCTCTTGGACCCAACTCTCTCTATGGAGGAACAAATATCTGGTGTGGCCAAGAGTGCCTTTCATCACCTTTGTTCAACTGCCTAGCCTGCACCCCTACCTGGATAGGAAATGCCTAACAACATTAGCCTGCACCTGCATAGGAAATGCCTAACAACAGTGGTTCATGTGTTGGTAATCTCCAAAATAGGCTACTGTAACACTCTAGTAAGGCTGCCCTTGAAGTTAGTACAGAAACTTCAGCGTGTCCAAAATGCAGCTGCTCGACTGATCACAGGGACCAGCAGATATGAACACATAGTCCCAGTTTTGGCATGTGTTCATTGGGTCCGTGTTAGTTTCCATGTTGAATTCAAGGTGCTGGTTGTTCCTATAAAGCCCTTAATGGTTTAGGACCTCAATATTTCTCAGGAATGTCTCTCCCACAAAACAGCAACCAGTCCCACCTGGTCCTTGCAGTCTTTGGTGTTAAAAATGGTGACACCTAAGGAAGCTAAAAGACCTGACACCGGGAATCACTCTTTCTCAGTCTTATCCCCTTCCCTCTGGAAAAAGCTACCAGCAGAGGTTTGTCAGGTAGCATCTCTCTCTGTTTTTACGAAGTTAGTAAAAACTGAATGATTTAAAGCTGCCTTTTATTAGTGCTTTTAACTAGACATGTGAGCTTCATATTTGTCTCCTGGGGGAGATAAATACGAAGCTCGCTGCCACAGATGGGTGGCCTAATTGGACCTCCCTCCTTGGCTGGCCACTCAGCAGCTGAGCAGGGAGACTGGCCATCCCACTCCTTTGCCAGAGTGGCCAGCCAAGCAGGGAGGCGGGGCAGTGCCAACCAGACTACTGCTGCAATTGGCATGCTCTTGATGATGCCAGCTGCATGGTGAGTGGTAAGTGGACACCTGGTTTGGAGGGGAGGATTGAGTCAGGCTGGCCACCTGTGCCGACAAGCTTTATCTTCGACCCCCCCCCCCCCGAGAGAAGAATATGAAGGTCCCATCTCTACTTTCAACCACTGGCCTGAGACGTCCAAATTAGTTTTAAATCTCTTAAATTCTATTTAAATGCAGATTTTAAAGCCAATGACAGCATTTTATTTATTTTCTTGTATTTATTGTATCTTGCACTATTGTATTGCTGATTTTAATGTGATTTGGACTGTTGCGAACCACCCAGAGAGTGTTCACATTGATGGGGTGGCATAGAAGCCGGATTGATTGATTCATTGATAATTGTGTGCCCTCAAGTCAATTCTGACTTACGGCAACAACCATTTCCAGAGTTTTCTAGGTAGAGATTACTCAGAAATGGTTTACCATTCCTTCCTTCTGGGATCATCCTGAGACTGTGCAGCTGGTGCAAGACCACACAGGCGGAGTCTTCTGGGATGCACAGTGGAGCATGGAACTGCCAACCTCTGGTTCCACAGTCACATGCCTAACTCATGCTGGTGTTACAGCTGAAGAATTCAGAACTTAATGAATTCCAAGGCCTGACATCTTGTTGCAGTGATGGAGGAATGCTTGCTGTGGGTTGCCTAAGGTCTGAATTGGCTAAAGATACACATTTCTTTCCCTGCAGAGGAAGATGTGTGTTCATGTTTGATTTTACCAGTACTGGACCTCTTAAGGCATATACGTACTACACAGTTGGCTACCACTTTAATTTTTAAGATTCCTTTGGAACCCTGGGATTTGTAGTCCAGATAGGTATTTAGAATTCTCTGCTACAAAGCTCTAATGAACTCCCCTGAAATACAGCAAAGAATTCTAGGCACCTCACCAAACTACAAATCCCAGGATTACTTTGTCTTGGAAAGATAACAGCTGTAGTGACAGATGAATTGATAAAAGCTGTGTCATTCATTCATCTACCTTGGGTCCCTAATGTTCTTGGACTACAACTCCCAGAAATCCTAGCTAGCATAGCTAGTGGTGAAGCCTTCTGGGACTTTTAATTCAAGAATATCTGGGGACCCAAGGTTGGGAACCATTGTGCTAAGTTGATTAGTGGGCTGCTAACTGTGTCACTTGCAAGGCATGATAAGGCATGACAAAGGTCTGGAGATTCCATTCCTCCCTTGTTATTTCAGTATAGGGGTGGTAAGGAGCAATGAATATCAGGATCACAGTAGAAAGTGAGCCTATGGCAGCAGTGTAGAAGGGAAAGCGTTGTATTGTCCCACCTTCCAGCAACAATAATACATGCAGTGAATGTATATTTGGTAGCTTGTAACATTGTCTTCCTATAATATTGTACAGCAGCCAAAACCTTTGGAGAGAACAGTCCTGATATCCTGGGGTGGGTATTGATTGGTTCAATGATGAAGGAACTTCCTAATCCAAAACCCTACCAGGCCCACACCAGAAGGGAGGGGGGAGAGCAATGGTTTTGTTCCTTAATCCTTCTACTTTTGGGGATTTTTACATTTCTTGTTTCATAATTTTTCCCTATTGGCTGAAATGCCAGTTCCAAAGTCAAATCCCCCGCCCCCTGAATCCCAGTTCCAGATAAATGTTGAGGCGATGTGAATAACACTCCACTTGCTGTACTGATGTGGGAGCTCCAGCATCAGAAAGGCAAAGCCACTAAGTTTTTCTTGTGGGAAAGGTATTTGTGATGGTGGGTTTTCCTTTAGAAGGTCAGCCTTCTTGCTTGCTCTTTTCCCTTAAAGAGCCAAATCTTAAGCATCCTAAATTGTCTGGGATTATAAGAATGCCACTTAAATGACTGTATTTTCAGCTAATGAAAGAATTTTAAATTTAATTTATTATTTTTATTTTATATTGCATCAGTTGTATCTATTATATTTATATTCAGTGTGCACACATACACAGTTATATTAATCAATATCAAGTTGATTTTAGAATTTTTTTTGTTTACTGTCCAGAACCTCATGTTTGTATCAGAGATGGGTAACGTTTTTTTCCGGACTATAGTCCCAAAAGCCCACCGCCAGGATTCTGGGAATTGTAGTCCAAAAAACCCCAACTGTTTCCAATCTGTGGTTTGATTGAATTATAAATTATTTGAATAGGTTATTTTGGGAGGTTTTGTACAATCCAGAATATTTTTAGGCAGGGCTGGAGAAACTTGAGGGGACAGAAAACAGGGGTTGCAGGAGGAGTCTGAAATTTTGTGATTATGCTGTAATCACTGGTATCTGTATATATAATAAAGATTTGATCAAACTTGTTGAATATCTTCAAAAAGGGTAATGGGATTGTACCTTTTGGCTCCACCCCCTTATAACATAAAGAGCCTATATCTGTTCATGTTCTTTCACAGGTTATAAAGAGTGGTGTAGAGGCTATATGAGGAATCTTCATTATAGTTATTAGTTCTTTCCAATTTATGCACATTATTATTAGTTCCTTCTAATTAATTCACATATAATGTAGGCCCTGTAGCCATGACAACACCCACATACTTCCTGCTGGAATTTTGAAGAGCCGCTGTTTTGAGGTCCAGCTGGCTTGGCATTTGGGTGGGCCTCTGTCCTCCTTGTCCTGTGTTCCTTTCTATGACAGATCAAATTGGGTTGTGATCTCCCCCAGAATTGAACCTACTGTCATAAAGTTTTGGGGGAAACATCTGATACAGGGCTAAGGAACCAGTGAACCTCCAGATGATGGTGGACTCCTAGCATGGCTAATGGTCAGACATGATGGCAGTTTTAATGTAGTGACATCCTGAAGGGTCTCACTTTTCCCAGGGCTGCTGTAATCTGTTGAGAGGCCAGATAAACTCATGTCTTATCCATATCCATTGTAACACTTTGGGCTTCATGCCAGAAATGGCTTGTCCAAATAGGATAGTGCCCCTCTGTTATTGTGCATCACTCCCACGGGTACTGAAAACCCATAGCTTCCATACTCCAGGTTATAATCTGTGTTGTTTGAGTTGGCAAAGTCCCAAGCAGTCTTAATAAAGCCAGACAGAGGTCATGTGCTGTGGCAGCCAGTAAAGTGCCTGGCAGGGATGCCCACTCCAGCCGTATTTAACAAAAGGCTGCTACCTTACAAGTCCTATGTAGGCAGCCTTTTTGGCTAATGGAAAAAATATGGTGACATTGTATCCCAGTGGTTCTCAAATAAAAATCTTCCCTTGAAGACACAGTGCCATACTGTATATCATTGTCTTATAAAGCAATTTATGTGATGTATAAAAAAAATTTAAACTCCAGAATATCACTTTGTGAGAAGTCAGTAAAACCAAACTATAGATATATCCTTAAGTACCAGGAGCATGTCTCAGTTTCTAGTTCCTTTAAGAGGTCAGGAGGTCAGAAATGCCACATTAGTTGTTTTCAGGGCAAGAGAATGATTAAAAAGCAATAGAAATACACCAGTTGTGCGAAGTTCAGCCAAACAACCAGAGTGTGTATAGTTCAATTTATAAAATAATGATTGATGAAATACAGTTTAAAATATATTGAGAAGAAAGGTTCAAACTCTAATAATTTCATAAGATAAAAAGCATCTGGTGAGTTACTGATCCCTTGAGTCATTTCAGAAGATTTGAGAGCCAATCCCAATGCAAAACTCCAGCCATTGAAAGACCACACATATTCCTTCATCTTCCCAAGGGTGCATGACCTAAACTGTTGTGTGATCCAAAGATGAATTCAGTGTTCTGACAGTTTTTAAAAAAACCAAACAAACCTGAGAACTGTAATAGAAAGTTTCCTCATGAGATAGACTTGTGAGTAGCCATGTTCAGATGCTTAACTGGCATTGATCAGTGGATTGGAGCACCTGGCTGCAGAATTGGGGCTGTGACTTTGAGTCCACACTGTGCTTCTTGGGAAGGAGGCTGCTGAGATCACATTGAGTGTGTGTGTGTGTGTGGGGGGATGGTGGTACATGTCCTGCCACCTCTGCAGCCATGGGCAAGCTATATGATCCTAGAGTACCATCAAAAAGAGGAACTGTAAACCATTTCGAAATACTTTGTAGCTAGAAAATCATGGGTTGCTGTAAGTCAGAATCAACTTAATTAGCACATCATAATAATTCTTCAAATGTTTGTCCTTCACCCAGCTGCATGAGTTAGGGAGAGCAATGTGTGTGTCCTTGTCTCCCCCCCCCCCCATGTGCTGCCAGCTTTGTTGTTCTGCATATATTGAGGGGTGAACCTCTGCATGGTAACCTTCTCTACTTTTGTGGGCTCACTATGATCTTAGGCATGGAGCTTTCAGAGTTTTTTCACTACAGCTTGTTAAATTTCCCAGGACTTCCCCTAGCCAGAATTCTGTTAGCTGTAGCCAAGAAATCCAGATCCTCACAGGAGTTTCAGTACTTTCACTTATGCCTTGGCATATCTTTCTCTGGAGCAGCCACTGTTAGCCTTAAGAAGAAGAAAATGAGCAAAAGTGACCAAGCCCTGTGGGAGCTGCAAGGGATTAGGGGACTGGTGGTCTGTTTGCTCATTAGGTCTTTAAAGCAGCGGTTCCCAACCTTGGGCCTCCAGATGTTCTTGGACTACAACTCCCAGAAGCCTTCACCACCACCTCTGCTGGCCAGGATTTCTGGGAGTTGAAGTCCAAATACATCTGGAAGCCCAAGATTGAGGACCACTGCTTTAAAGGGTGCCTCTAAAAAAAAAAATCCAGACTCCAAATCCCTTGCAGTTCCCATGGAGCTTTGCCACTCCTATGCATTTCCTCCTCCTTCAGGCTAATGGCAGTTGTTCCTGGGAGTGGTTTGCCAAGGCATATGTACGTGTTCAGAAACTCCTCTGACTTGAATTTCTTGGCTACAGCTACCAGAATTCTGGTTGGAAGAATTTCTAACAAATATTGAGAGCTGTGGTGGGGAGCAAGTGGGGAGGATTCACATGCCTACCTGATACTCATACTTGCACTCCCCCTTGTATGAAGCTTGAATATCTGAGAAGGACTACTTTTCAATCAAAGCAGAATATCCATGGGGAGCCTGTTGTGGCCCTTCTGATGTGGTCAGACTTCAAGTCACATCATTGTGAGTTAGTGTCTACTAATATTTAGAGATCCACACATTCCACATTCTCTGCTCTTTTTGAAGAAGGTGAAGATCATAGTTTGTCTTAAATTAAAAACCTGCACATGGCAATTTAGCAGTAATGTTCCTTAAGAGAACTTTCCTTTATGGATCTTCATGCTTGGACTTTAAACCGTGTTTTAGATTTTGAAAATTCATCTTCAAATGGTATTTTACAAATCTGATGACTATATGAAACTTGTTTCATTGTATATGAAACTGTGTTTTTTTGGGGGGGGGGTTTAAACCATTACCAGTCCATTGTGGCTTTCATTTTCCAAACTCAGCGCCTTACATCTGCTATTTCTTTGCTAACTGCCTCTTGAAATTTTGTTTGACAGAGTGTGACCTTGCATATCTGCTAGGCAAAAGTGTTCTCTGTCAGACCCTGGCTGATGGAGTTTCTCTTGCGACATGAGACCAATACTGTACTTCTTTTTTAAGGTTTTCGCTTTGTTTGTTTAAAATGTATGCTTAGTAGTCATCTCATTTGAGTTTGGAAGCTGGAAAAAAAGGACAAGGTAGCTTGGAATGCAAGGTGTGACTTGATTCTGCTCTGTGTCTCTTTCTCCTCCAGGTGCATCAGGGAGCTGTCCCTCTCTCCTACACGGTGACCACGGTGACCACACAAGGCTTCCCTCTTCACACTGGCCAGCATATCCCTGGTTGCAGCACGCAGCAGCTCCCAGCATGCTCCGTGATGTTCAGCGGACAGCACTACCCTCTCTGCTGCCTCCCACCTCCTGTGAGTCATTGGCCTGAGGAAGGCAGCATGTACCGAAGCCGGCTTCCGTGGTTGGGCGGGAGGTCCTGCCATGCTCTGCTCTTTAGGCAGGGCGCTGGATCATCTGGACCTGTTTTAGTAAAAGGGCTGTACCTTGCCAGCCTTGGCAAGGGGGACCACTTGCTGCCTCTTCCTCCGTGATGAGTGGCACTGACAGGCAGGACAGTCTGGTCCTAAGGATGTGGCATGTGGCCTTGCCAAAAGGACTTGCTCATATTCTCTCTCTCCCTCTCTCCCTCCTTTTCTCTTACCCTTCTGTTTGCCCTCTTTTCTTACAGCTGATCCAGGCTTGTGCCATGCAGCAGCTCCCTGTGTCGTACCAAACATTCCCGCCGCTCATTTCCAGTGACCATTACATCCTGCACCCTCCACCACCTGTGCCATCACACCAGCCTCCACACATGGCTCCTCTCAGTCAGTTTGTCCCTCTTCAACCCCAGCACCCTCGTATGGTAAGTTTTTCTGTTTTTAAAAATATGCCCTGTGTTTGCTTAGAAGAAGGAAATGGTTTGGGTCTATTTATCAAAAGTCTTGAATCTGTACTATTGGGAGACATCAAAACTGGCATGGTTTTATTCCTCTAGCACAGCGGTTCTCAAACTGGGGTCCCCAGCTGTTCTTGGATTCCAATTCTCAAAAGCCTCCACCACTTGCTGTGCTGGCCAGGATTTATGAGGACAGTAGGCCATCCCTTCTGAGAGATGGGCTCCCTTTGATACTTGCTGTATCCAGTTGCCCAGAGACTAGATGCAAACCCAAGCCTGGACTGTACACACTATTGAGCAAGCCTGATTTGCTCTTGCCCAGCAGGTGTATTATATCCACAGGGTGAGGCAAAATGAAAATTAATATGTCTACTGCGGTAACAACAGTACTTATTATGCCTTTGTGGCAGCAATAATGTCCATGTGCCTCATCTGATGAAACTGCTTATTTATTTAAAGTGCCTTTACCCCACACTACTCAACCAGAAAGTCTTCCAGAGCAGCTGACACGGGGCCAATAAAAAGAGTAGAATCCCTGCCTGCAGGCTTACAAGCTGAAAGACGTGTTGGTAAAGGAAGGCAGGCTAAGAAGGGGGTAGGCAGGGCAGAGAGTTTCTGTACAAAGTTGGTAGCACCTAAGAGTGAGAATGTGGCACGGTTGGGTTTCTCATTGGCCCTACCAGTTCAGGGAGATATGTGATTGTAATCCTACTTTTCTGGAGACCTTGAAATGCCCATAGTACCTTACCTTATTGTTACAAACACATACAGTAATCCTTTGAGGTTAGCCATTCATGTTCCCACTTTGTAAATGGTAAGTGAAGCTGAGACAGTCATGTGCAAGCCTAGCCCATGAGGTGGTGGAGGAACATCTGCCTCGGAATAATTGGGACTTGAGGCCCCTCTCTTGCCTGGTTTCGCTGGATATGTTTGAATGTCATTCTGCATTTGCTTATGAGGCTTCTGTGTTTGAGGTTGGATTGTTCTACCTCTTCCCGTGCTTTCTTTCCCCTTTCTGTAAATTGTGCTTTTATAATTTGGGGGTTTATCACCTCATCCTAATAGCTTTTGTGAAGTCCTACTTTCCTAACACCCAGTAATAGCAATGTTTTGTTCTGCTTTGCTTTTCATATACTAACTATACAATGTGACAAAACTGATTCCAGGAGGGAGCAATTTCAGAAATTCAGTGATAGTCAGAAAGAGCAGTTAATATTATGATTCTTAATAAGTATTAGTAAAAGTGAATGATTTTGATGCACCTTCTGCTCATTGGAAAATGAGGAAGAGTTTTCTCCCCTCCCCTCCTTTTTTCCTTTTTAAAAGAATATTGAAAGTCACACTGTACTAAATTATACATTTGGACCATCTAGCTCAGTGTTAGCTGTCTGCCAGCTGCTCTCTGGAGTAGTGATTCACAAATTTGGATTCCTAGATATTGTTAGACTACATCTAAAATCCATGACCCTTGCCCGTATTAGCTGGGTCTTCTGGAAGCTGAGTTGCATTATCATCAAATGTGAAAAAAGGAACATAACCAGTCTGAATGCTTTACAGCACAATCATGTGTAAGTTGGACTCAGAAATCCCAAATATCTTCAAAGAGATTTACACCTTAGTGGTTTAAAGTTTCAGTCTCACCCTGTATTTATAAATACTGGAGGCCACCAATGGAGCACTACTGTACAGGTCATTTCAGCTCTGCTGCAGATTGAACGTGGGGTCTTCTGCATCCAGATGCAGGCCTATGTTTGCAGATGCGGAGTCACTGTCAAATATTGATAGTCCAGTAGAAAAAAAGTTAAATTCTTGATATTTACCTCCTATGCTCTGAGGCTAAGCAGTGGCCCTTTGGTATACAGAGTACCACTGAAATAAAGAATGGTCTTTATGTAAGTGTTGTTGTTGTTTAGTTGTGTCTGACTCTTCATGACCCCATGGATCAGAGCACACCAGGACCTCCTGTCTTCCACTGCCTCCCAGAGTTGGGTCAAATTCATGTTGTTAGCTTCGATCACATAAAGTGTACACAATACTAAATTTAGTTGCATTAAGCCATTGGGAGTTGAACTATTTAAAATCTTGAAAGATGATGCTGTTAAGGTGCTACATTCAATATGCCAGCAAGTTTGGAAAACCCAACAGTGGCCAGAGGATTGGAAAAGATCAGTCTACATCCCAATCCCAAAGAAAGGCAATGCCAAAGAATGCTCCAACTACTGCACAATTGCACTCATTTCACACGCTAACAAGGTTATGCTCAAAATCCTCCAAGGTAGGCTTCAGCAGTATGTGGACCGAGAACTCCCAGAAGTACAAGCTGGATTCCGAAGAGGCAGAGGCACTCGAGACCAAATTGCTAACATGCGCTGGATTATGGAGAAAGCCAGAGAGTTCCAGAAAAATATCTACTTTTGCTTCATTGACTATGCAAAAGCCTTTGACTGTGTGGACCACAACAAACTATGACAAGTTCTTAAAGAAATGGGAGTGCCTCACCACCTTATCTATCTACTGAGAAACCTATATGTGGGACAGGAAGCAACAGTTAGAACTGGATATGG